GGCCCCGCTGGCCGTGCGGGTGGCCTGGCTGCAGGGCACGGTGCTGGCGGCGCGGGGAGGCTGGGTCCGGCTCCAGGACAACAGTGGCGCCTTCACCGTGCGGGGTGCGGAGCGGGTGCCTCAGGGCCGACCCTGCCTGCGCGCAGGTAGCGCTGGCCGCCAGGCGGGGCTCCTGGCCGAGCGGGGCCGCCTTGTCCTCTGCCGCGCCTGGCCCTGCTCGCCGGGGCGGGAGTCGCCATCAGGCCTGCGGGTGGGAACGAAAGGGGCCTGGTCTCCTGGGAAGAGGCCGGGGCGGGGCAGGGCAGGCCACCCCAGATGGGCCCAGGGGTTTGGCCGGCAGCTGCACCGTGGCCTCAGCGGGCCGGCTCCGGTCATGGGCAGCACGTGTCCCACCCTGGGCTTTTTTACAATTTTTTTGCCATGGGTTTTTTGACCCCGGGATGTCCCAGGGTCAAGAAAGCCCCGCGCTTCACAGCAGCAGCATGGGGAATGCCTGCACTTGTGGTGCGGCCAGCGGGTCTGCGGCGCCACGTGCCGCACAGCCGCGCTGGTCTGGACAGGCCGTGGCGTGAAGCCATGTTTGTGTGCAAGAGGCGAGGACTTCTGAATGAGGTCTCTTCTACTGGACCGGCTGGCGGGGGGAATAAAGCTGATGAATGCAAAGGGATTCTTGCATTGCTGCTGCAACATCATTTTGAGGCTGAATGTTGTGATAGTCTCTGGAGTTGGAGCTTTGCAGACTTCGCCTTTCCTCAGGGATTGCCTAACCTAGCTTCAAATGATTAGTTTGCTGCTTTAACAAAATGCAGAAAGCACAGGAGTAAATTGAGTTGTGTGTTCTCTTTTTTTTCTAGGAAACTATGTAATGGTGATGGGTTTTGTTCACACCTGCACTCCAGAGCCTCTTCTGCAGGCTGTGAAGATGACGGATCTCTCCAGTAATCCCATAAACAAGATGATGTGGAGCCTCGAAGTGGAGGATTTGCAAAACAGCATCCCATAGATAACCATATTTCTATGTTCGTAGTTCCAGAGGAACTGAAAACTTTTACTTGCTTCTACATGACTGGAGCTAGGATCTGAATATTGGAATCTCCCCATAGCTGCTTTTTATCCTGCATCCAGCTTGCATTGATAAATAGCATTCCACTGAATATGAGCAGCTCAAGAGCAGATTTACTTCTTGAATAAATTAACATAATGTTTCCCTGGAGAGAAGCAGCAGCACACCTAGTGCTGCTGCTACTTGTCCCCGGGGAATGCCTGTGCCACACGCCCTCTGGCACGTGGCAAGTTACCCCAGGTGGAGGAGGGGAAGCTGGGCTGGGTCCTGGGGCTGCAGCAATGGTGATCCTGCCGCTCAGAGCCTAGTTGGCAGCCAGAGCATGGCTCTGGGAGGTCAGGCTCCAGTTCTGGGTGGCACATGCTGCCCCTGTATGTGCTGTTCCACCTTTTTTCTGCAGGTTTTTTTGACCCTGGGATCTCCTGGGATCAAAAAGCATGGAGAACAGCTGGATGTGCAGTATGTGGCACCCCAGACTTGTCTGCAGCTCCATGTACCACACGGCCGTGCTTATCTGGACGTGGCCCATGAACTCGGTAAATTTGGTTCAGTGTCAAGATTTAGATATCTTTATGTCCTTGAGATGGTGGAAGGTTTTGTTTCATGTCCCATTTTTTGGCAAATGCCAAAAAATTAAACCATATTAACTTGGGAAAAATTATATGCTGTTTTCTGAATAATACTGGCTACCTCAGTGCATTCTCCATTGCCAGAGTTGCCATCTCCTGAGAAGGACTAGCTGGGCAGCTGTGGCTATTGCATCAAGTCCTAGTATCCATTTTCATAAATGAACTGCTTGGAATGGGGGCAGAGCGAGGCCGAATGTGTCTAGACCAAATTCCTTTGGTATCCGGTTTGCTTTAACACAAACGTATTTTCTACCTGCAAGCATAACCTAGTTCCTCAAACGTCTTGGTTTTGTTTTTGTCTTTATAATGCTAAGACCAATGCAGTAATAAACTGTTTCAGTAATCTGAATGAATATTTACCACAGACTCCTATGGAGTAGGTTTGTTCTAAAACAAGATAGAATAAGTCATCTAGTCTAACCCCTTGCTCAAAGCAGAGGGACCCCAAATAGACCATCCCAAAGCTTTGTCTACCTTGGTCTTAAAAATCTCCAAGGATGGAGAATCCATAGCTTCTCCGGGTAACTTGTTCCAATGTTTACAAGAGTAAGACTTCATTTTAAGCTATTGTGCAATCACCTCTGTGTGCACTACACAAACACATGTAAAGCAGGACAAAAATATTTTTTTTAAATCAAAGTTGT